CACTTACATAGAATCACTACTAAATACAGAAATATGTCGCCGGTCAGCTCTGTTTCAATGTTTTTTTATAATGAGGAATATTAATAGATCTCATTTTTCATAATGGGATGAAAATGGAATTATAACTCCGCCAGCGCTATCAGTATACGCTGGCTTGGGACCAGTAATTATAATATATAAGGATGAAGTCACGTCCGTTAGTCCATCATAATGAATTCACTGTGTTTGCAGAGAGGACCACAAAGAGGTTGACCTGATAGGTTTGCTAGCAATGAGGCTATTTATTTCTATTATTAGCAATCCCTTTACCCCGATAGATTATATTAGAGAGTGGAGGGGGTTAACGTCCACCTCGCACACCTCTTGTAATATTATCCTAGGCTCCTAGTAACCATCAGTAGTAGCGCATACCAAGGGCGTGATACAAGGGTTTAACATCAAGTATATTTGTTAGTGATGTAAAAAATCTCTCTTGGCAATTACACCTACCAACATTGTTTTTTGTGAATGTCATCACTTTTTATACGACTGGCCAAAACACTTTATATGTTTGTAGTCAAATTTAAATGTAGAGGTGCCTGTGGCTATGTAGATACCTAGTTGTTGGAAACTGCATTTCTTTTGATCTTTGTGATGTAATACAGCAGTTCAATTTATACGAACGACGAGATAAAAATGTTCTCTATTTTTGACGTGTAGGTACATTTTTTGTCAAATCCCAATATTTTTACTTTAAAAATGTAAGCTGCCAATAAATACGACGAAATAAAAAAGAAAGGAGATTCACATTGATAATTTCAATTATAACGTAGTAAAACAATGAAGAGATCAAGCAAAACATCCAAATGCCTCTGCTCTGAGAAATCTTGACATACGATATATTATACACCTGTTAGGCAATAACAACGCCTGCCAAGAAATAGGTACTTGTATATTATAAAGATCGTAGTTTCTTGTTTTTACCAATTTCTGTATTATTTAGATTATATATTTATATAAATTCAGTCAAACTATGAGAGTGAGCAGAAGTACCATCTTTAATCCTTTCTATTTATGTGTGTCTATGCTAGATTAAAAACCATAGATTTGTACAGTTGTCTAAAGGGTATCATACACTATTATTTTTAATCTGTTACTATTTCTAAAAAGAGAAATGTTCCTTTGTTATTAGTTGTATCACACTACAGCTCTTTGAACGTGTCTTTTTGGCATAATGATATAACCTAGGACTTGGAAGTGAGCATTAGTAGGCATCTATTTACTTATCAAAATCACAACCACAGTGTAAAAACAATAACCAATGGTCCATAACCAACCTTTAGCATCTCCCGAACGATAAAATTATAATTCGGGACGCATTGCTCTGTCTAGACGTGTGTCTGTTATACAATTCGGCTACATTACTTTAGTCTACATTGAAGAATTCATTGATATCAAGTGCAGTAGCTAAGTCTGTTTTATATCACTTTCTTATCAATATTTATAGACATAAATTTTATACGAAAGCAGTTTGGCTGTCTGAATAGATTTGAATGAAATTCGATATACATGCATTAACATACAACTTTGTCTGCTAGAATTCAGGGTATTTAGCCCCTAATTGTAAGTTCTTTTTTATGAATAGTACGCGCCACTTGCACTAACTCTATATGCTGGCCAGTAAAAGATGGTAGGTGAGGATAAAAAAATATAAGTTGGTCCCTCGTGACAAATTTATCAAGATTAACCTCGTGGTTGAAGGAGGAACTGCGTGGCTTTTAAGTTTGCACAGTGTATTGCTAGTAATGGGCTTCTTAATACCATTTAGGTTTCGTAGCCCTTCTTCGAACGAGCAGCCAGATAACGTAGAGGCTACCCGCTCGGCGGCTAAATTAACTTACTCAAACCAGTCTCCTTCTTTCTATAGTATTATCCTAATATTCAGTATTTGCCTCCAGGAGAATACCAGTAACGAACAGACGCCATATCCCCTGTATCAAATCGTAAAGACATAATGCCTCTTTGTTGGAACCTTGATTTAAAAAAAAAAAAAACAATCAATTGCCCTCTAATTGTAGTTTTTTTTAATGAATGCTATTGGAATAGTTACCCCGCCTTCACTATCAGTATAGACTGACGAAGAACCAGTGAGGGACGATAGGTGAGGATGAAGCAGGTCAGTTGGCACATCCTGACGAATTCATCAATAAATCAATCATTATGGTTTCCAGGGGGAACTGCTTGGTCGACCTGATAGGGTATATTGCTAGCAATGGGATTGCTATCTCCGTTACTAACAATCCCTTCTCCCCTCTTAAATCGAAGGTCACAGCCAGTCTTAAAAACAATAAACCGCTGTTTTATCCGCGCACATATTTTGTGTGTAATTGTTACAATATTACAAGTGGGGCGGGTCGGTTGTGGCGCTCGTATGCATCTAATTTTATACCACGCTTCAGATGAACGCAAATGAGTCATCGCGCCATTAATAACAGCAATATGGTCCGTCTTGAAAACAGATATAAAATTTATTTAATAATAAACAGATAGTATCAACTACATCTTTTTGTATGATATTGAAATAAATGTATTACGCAACTAACTATTGAAAAGACCGTAATATTTAGCGCGTAGTTTGGTGAGCAGTCCGGTTCGAAGGACCATAAAGTAAGTGAGAGTGTGTGGGCGGCGGAAAATTCCTACATCTTTATGGTAAAGCTAATAATGTATAATTACTATCGTCTTAATTTCTAAATCGATTTAAGAAATGGTTATATTTTTAATCGACTTCTATACTGACAATAGACCGATGCCAAAAGTTTGCCTGAAACGTTATCTATCTTTGATCTTGAATACTCGCGTACTTAAGTAATGTATTCTCTTCACTTACTATCTTCTGTAATATCCTATCACAATGCTTAGAATTGCATTCAAAATCATTCTTGATGAATATTTCTAGAAGTATCCGCGATAAAAGTTTTTTTATTTTCTTAGTCCTGTTGAAATTTGTCATTTCATAAATTTTACACGAAAATTATTTTTGTGGAGAACGTTCGAATATTAATTTAAGGACAATCCGGGTCGCTTATTCATTCACCTTCATCATTTTAAACAAAAATACACAAAATTAATGTAGTCATAACTGTAGTCATAAAATTTAACAATAAAAATTTATATAGCTTTAAACATTATTTATTTTCACTTTTCTGCACCGTTTGTGTTGTTTTTGAGTTTTGCATTTTAGATTTACAGTAGTTACGCTTTGATACGACTTCATTATAGCTATACATACATATCTAACGCTCCGCTTTTATGAGTTTTCTTTCTTTTTTTTTTAATTTTTATAATTTCTATCTAAATTCAACATTTTTACTGGCTTTGGTTTTGAAGTTTTTTCCTCTAACATTGATTTTTTTAGAATATACTTTGATTTTACTACTTTACAGTAAACTTATATAATGTTATATAACAATTTGAAATCCAGTTATTTTATATATCTAATATAATTTTACTTATTTATTTTATTTCTTTATTATAGGATATATACAATACCAATTTAACATAATCAAATTGTACTGATATACCTGAAGAAGGTAAAAGCACTTAAAATAATATAAAAAAAACTGACCTTTTTTTGTAGATAGGAAATAAAAAAAAAATCAAGTAGGTTTTAAGAGCAATAGAACCCAAAACAATAATTTTTGTCTGTCTGTATGTTTGTTCCGGTATCACGCAAAAATAACTATACCAAATTGGATGTAGTTATTACAGTTATATTTCTTAAAGTGTAACTTATAATCTGGTGTATATTATATTATTTTGATTCATCATCCAGTAGTGGTTTACCTTATTACCTTTACCCTACTTAGGGAATTCACGCATACGAAGTAACGGGTAAAAAGCTATTTAATTATAAAACTAAATTATTTTCTCCAAGGGTAAAAGGTTGGATACAAAATAATGATCCTTCTTAATAAAATAAACTGTACGGTCGTAGCAGTAGATTGTGAATGAAAGGTCCAAAAAATTAATCGTCTTTAAAGACAGTTGTAGGCATGAATAATATGCATACCTACTAATCCGATATCTATATATTGGGTTTTACTAGACACTGATAACGGAAAAAAGGTAATCATCCATTTTGACATCACCCATAACGGTCGGAAGTTTCAATTTATATTGAATAACAGACTTTTAACGTATTCCTTATTTGACGAGTATATAGATATTGTAACTAAAATATATTAGGTAGATATTGCTATAAATTGCCCACCCTTGGAAAGTTGTAAATTTATTACTCGCATATGCTGTCCAGGATTTCTTATTGTTATATAATTAACTTTACACTCTGTACAGTAATGTAATAAATTGTAGTTTTTATTTATCAGTATTTATTAGGCTTGTTTTTAAATAGATGTCTAATGCTTTTGTTTATAGAATATTTAGAAATATTACATATTAATGAATAAAATACAATCAGTATTTTATTCATTAATATAGAAAAAGTATAATTGCAATGTAAATAGCTTATAAGCAATTTAGTAATCCATTTTATGTTTACAGGGTTGCCATTTGTCCCTGTTTGACTTCCTTTGATGGTTCTTCATGGTGTAACATAGTGTTAGGGTTTTATAGTTTCAAAATTCAGTTGAATTTAATTTAAGTATAATTATAAAAGAATTTCAAATCAAATATTTAGTACATTAGTTTTAAAAATCAGTGTATTTGATTTCCGTGTCCTGCAACAATAAAGGAGACAAATATATCCACTGTAAAAGTAAAATAATGCTAAATATGTAAAAAAAAAATATTGTTACCGCGCGCATGAATAAGAACAAAACGCCTCACGTTCTCACGTGTTTGCGTCCTTCTATCTTATATATACAATAGCGATAACGTATCTATCGATAAATTTAACAATACAGACGGCACTGTTATTGTATGCTGATTGTACAGATGGCAACCCTTAAAAAGTATGAACATTAACAAAACAAAAATGTATAAATGCTAATGGTGTACAGGCCGAGTTGATATACCGGCCGACGACTCGCAGCGTGACTCGACTCGTCACATACCCGGAGCCGCCGCACCACGTGGTCCGCGTGCGCGTGCGCCCGTCGGTCGTGCTGCGTGAGCTGGACCGCATCACGCATCGCACGCGACCCACCCTCGCCGTGTCGGCCGTTGAGGAATTCTTCAGATCAGAGAGTACTAAGGTAATGTTTCAGATTTTAATTTGATGCTATCATCTTTTTTTATACAATAGAATGGCAAACAAACTGACGGCCAACTTGATGGAAAGTGCTAACCGTCGCTAACATGAGCAGAACCATGGACATAACAGAGTATACTGTTTCGCCCATGATACCCCCCATGCGTGGCCATTCCTGAGAACTCAGGTGTTATTCCTCTGTACCCTGTAAATTCACTGCCATATCCCACCCTTCAAACCGAAACAGCTATGCAATCACAACTGCTTCACGGTAGAAATACGAATGGGACAGAGGTGCCTAAGCAAACGACTTTTGTACAAAGTCTCCTCATTTGATAACTTCTTTTAGATCTCTTTTTAGTAATTGTCTGGGTAATACGCTGAATGGTATCTGAATCTTAGTATTCTGAAAATTAAAAGTTTCCCAAATCTTTCTCAAAGAAACGAATTGTATAATATAAAAATTTTGAGTTCCCAAAATAACATCATTCAATATGAGGAAAGTTTTAATTTTTTTTGCATTTTCAATTCTTTATTTATGCTTCTTTGAGTATAATGTTCAGCTTCATTGATAAAAAAACGATGTTAATGATTCGAAATTTTTTATATATTGATCTTTTTCATTTTTCAATCAATTTCATTGGCGTAATGAAAATGAAAAATAACTTTTAGCGCGTTTACGCGAAATTTCTTATCACAAGTTATTCAATAACTACCCTATACCCAAGGAATAAATATTAAAATTCCTTATTATTATATATTACTAACATAATGAAGCAATATAAGGAAGCTGAAGTGGCAATGAGCTGGTCATATAGCTCGAAGAACCGATGACCGATGGGGAAAAAAGGTTATTAAGTAGTGACCTCGTACGGGCAAACCCAGTGTAGGACGACCACCCACTAGATGGAGTGACGACCTGAAATGCATTATAGGTAGTCAGTGGATGTAGGTGGCTTAGGACCGTTCTTTATGGCAGTCTATGGGGGAAACTTATGTCCAGCAGTGAATAATGACTGACAAATAATAGTTGAAATGATGACTAACATAATTAACATCACCACTATGTACATGATTCCAGGCGTTTGAAGACGAAAGCCGCCGTATTCGCGCCGACACTGCCGCTTTACTGCAGCGCGCCCGCTCCGTGGTGCCTCGTGCTGCGTCTGTCCTACCATTAGACACTATTTACTCGTAAGAAATTAACGCATATTAAAGGTCGAGGGATGAGCAGTAGCGTCCCTCTTAAAACGTTATCAAAGCCTAACTGCAAATGCCAACCCATGTGTCAAGCGTGACAACCACTAGCAAAACCTCCCAATGCGGAGGTCTACGTTCAACAATGGACAATTAACGGCTGAAATGATGATATGATGAACAAATTAAATCCAACAACAAGAAACTGAACAATTTTCTTCAAGAAAGTTTAAAATACAAAAACATACTCTAAAAACAAACTCCGCGGTCATGAGAACAATTCAAAACACTATATACTCATAAGAAACCCCAAAGAAACATACATCTTGGCTTCGACTCTACCTACTGTGTTAAACATTGGAATGCTAACGAACCATATAGAAACTGAACAGAATGTATACCAATTCAAAATTCAGGAAATTTAACATTTTTCTTCAAGAAAGATTGATAAAAGTGGTAGGTGAGAATAAAAAAAATTATGTACACACCCAAAAGAAAAATTCAAAAATTTTTGTCAAGTTTTGGCTTGGCAAGGCCTCTGACTACACCACTCAGTTGCTGTACGGATGATAGCACGATTAGCACGTGTTATGCAAATCCCGACCTTGCCTACCTGCTGTACCCTCGTAATTGTTCTAACGCTGGGTCAAGTTTTTCTTGGCTTGATGTAACTATACAAAAATAGACCATTGATACGTGTATCAACCGACCGCCCTGGCACTGACATTGGAGACTAATCATTCACACATCATTTGGCAGTGCCCTCACCTGTCCTCGCACTTCTACAAAGTATGACATATTGTATCCAATCACCGGCAGCTTGTCAATAGCCAATGTTATGAAATGTCAGGATCTTGAAATATTTCCGAGGATATTTTCTGCGTCGGCGTCGATCACACAGCCAAATTTTGTACTTGCGTGGTTAGCGTGTGACGTACCATCCGAGCGGTGTGGATCACACATTTAATTATAGACTGGTTAAATGCCAGCTAATGTTTGCTGTCTTGAATAGTAATAAAATGTTTTACGATATATTCACATTCGATGTCTTGGTGGGCATTTTTTTACGATTAAAAATACATACATCGGATGTAAGCAGCAAAACATTAGTTGAAATCACTGTACTATCTACTTATTATTATAGAAATTTGTTTCATCAAATTATTTTTGACAGGTATTCATATGGCGAGCCAGTGCCATACAGGTTCAGCAACGACGCGTACGTAGCAAAACTGATTGTGCCACTCCGCAACGTCGCTAATAACATCCACAATATCTCTTTCTACAAGGAACCTGCCAAAAGGTTCACTGGTTAGTATTAGAGATCATAGATGCAAACATACTGTACACAAAAAATATATACACGAATACTCATATTACAAAGGACACGAGATGGGAGGTACCCTTATTGATAAGTGTGGCCCCACCTTCTTAGCGAGATCCACTTTCGTTTTACCTATCACCCAGTAGTCTAACAGTTCCAGTGTGACCCCGTGTAACCGTGAGGTGTTCTCGCCAGGACGCGGTAACCTCGCGTGCGTGCACTACTCCGGTTCAAAGGCCTTCTCCAATCGCAGGCCACTCTACAAGGAACTTAGCATCAGGGACGACGTGAATCTCCTCTCTTTCTATGCCAAGAATAGACTCGCGGCTGCCGGTTTGGCCGTAGAGAAGGCCACAGGTACCTTGCAACAATAGCATCACTAACGCTCGCTTCTACCCTTCGCTTAATTTATAAAAGGAGATGTTAAACAAATCTAAAAGTCAATTTCGCGCTCCGACGGCGTCGGAGTGATAAAACAGTTTTAAAATGGACTATAAAATCCGTGTCCTAACAATGTGTGTGGTGTCTCTTGCAGCGGGCAGCGCGCCGGAACAGCCGACGGCGGCGCAGTGCGCGTAGCTCGGCCCTCGCTGGCCGCGGCGCGGCGCGGGCGCCGGTGCCGATCGCGGCTGGCCACGGTCGGCTGCGGTCCGCCGCGGTCGGCCATGGTCGTCCGTGGTCGGTGCTGGCACCCGCGCCACGTCCGCTCTTCGCGCTCTCTGATCTCGGTATAACTCTCCAACTAACCCAGATCATCTATTTTTTATATTAATTTTTTTAAATTATTTTTACGACGAATTCAACGAACGACATTATTTTTCTATTACTTTTATTTCTAGTCATCGTTGTGATAGCGCGGGGTACTGCGCCGTTTTTTATATCGGTGACCGAGACGTCTCGTTTTCACTTAACAGAACTGATTTTATTTAACATTAAAAGATTATTGAAAAATTTAGTTGTTTTTATTTGCATGCCAGTTGCCTCCGAAACATGCTTCTATCCATGGGCTTTTAATAATGCTAAGCTTCTGACTAAAATGAACCAAGCGAACAACATGCTTTGATTCCGGATACCTACCTACACAACAAGTAAGTTTTATAATAATGACAATGTCTACAACACTTCAAACTATACATTAATAAAAATCAAAAACACTTGTCCTCCGGCTAAATAAGTCGGCAACACCTTCATAAATATTCACCATGATCGTATATAGACTTTATACGATGCAAATTAGCTGAGCTTGTAATTTCACAAACGAAAAAATTGGGGAGGAACAGTAGCATTCATAAGCATCACAGCATGAAGCAAGCACCACAGAACGCATCCATAGCGATGTACCTACTCATACGATTCAAGCTTTGCCGGCGAGCTTCAGTGCTGGGGTCTCTAACAGCTTAATGACAGAGCGTATTTTGCAGCGATGCTTGATCTTCTCTATTTTTGAGCATCATGATCATTGCTCTCTGCTCAGAAATGCTGGGCTGTTTCTAGAAATTATATGTAGACTAGTCCAACATTTCTTAGCAGTCATAGTTGCGACTGGACCTCTATAACGTTGGCTTTGGTGCAGTGAAACTGCTACCATGGAGGCCGAGCCGTAAATTCCAGGCGCCTCAGTTGATGGAAGACCCAGCTTTAGAATTAAAGGCTGCTAAAGCAGAACGAGAAGCAAGATTCCGCACGACAAACGCTGAACCTGTTCTGACATCAACAGTCGACTTGGCCGAGGTTAAGAGGAAGAGGCAAGAAGAAGCTCGCGCTGCAGAGGAGAAGTGAGCAACTAAGTAGTTAAAACTGTCTTTGCAAAGAAACAAGTAGAAAAATCGACTCAATCATAATAAACCCATTTAAATTTAAACCTATTTTCAAAACTATTAAAGATTTGAACTCATCTAAAAATATATTCTTTTAGATAAAAAAAAAAAAAAAAACGGAAACCTGGATTTTGAGGAAACAAACATAAAAGAAATACCAGAATTGGGATCTCTTTTTTTGAGTCGGTTGGAAAACGGACACTTAATAAATGTATCGTTAGAACTTAGATTATATAGATAAAGCAATGAATGCTAAAAACGGGTCAACTTTTGTTAGCTTAGCTGACTCGTTTTTTATTAGTGTTCTATATATTTAAGTACATAATGTAACGTCTATCTATATTTAATAATTGAATAAATAAAATAAGTTTTATGCATTGAAAAGATGCAAAAAATATAAAACATAATAGATATAGACGCTATAAAGGAGTCACTCATGACTATTTATCACGTAAAATTGTATGAAAAAGTTGACCCGCTTTTCTCGAAGCATTTGTATGGAGACACTCTATCTATACAATCTAAGCGTAAGTAGGATACCTACTAAAAGATACGTTAGCATTGGTATATATAACTTCATTTAGGCGTCGTATTGCAAAGTTGAGATTTTCTTAAAACATATGTACATACATATTAAAATATTCCTAATATATATCTCTGCTAAATTATAGTAAAAACTGTGCAATATGGACCATTATAGACCATATTAAATTGAAAGCATTTAATGTTTAATTTAAATATTTTCAAGAAACAATATTTACTTCAAATTTTTAAGTGTCCGGTTTTGTTTTGCAATAGACCTTGTTTTTAGTAAAAAGAAAATAGGTATTTAAAATCTGACGCTTGTTTCAGAGCTTTGAAGGAGGAAGCAAAACGTGAAGCTGAACGCAAAGCTCAGGTAAATAACATAGTTTATATTTGAAAAAATGCAAATTCCTTTAGATTATTCAATGACTATTGTCATACAAAGAAGTGCGATATCTAATCATACGTTTTCTATTTGTACATTATGGCAAGTATGGTAATGCCATATGATATAAGGTACCCCGTTTATTCAAATTTTATTGTTCAATAAAGAATAAATAAATAAACAGTGATACTAATCAATAAAATATCTGAATTGCTTTGTAATGTGTATTATATCAAAAGAGTAACTGTAGTTTTTTGGGGATGTTAACAGATTAAAACAACCCAAACTTAAATAATACTACTACAGCATTAAATTAACAATCTAAAAATATTTGTGATCTAAATATAAGCATTATTTAAATAAACATTTCTATAAATAAAATTCAAAATGACTTTGGTATTGTTGCCTTACGATTTTAGAAATAATTTATGGGATAATAATTAGAATATATTTTCTCAGGCCGAGCGCGAAGCTGCTGAAAGAAAGAAGGCCGAAGAAGAAGCCCGAAAGGCCGAAGAAGCAAAACGTAAAGCAGAAGAAGATGCCAGAAAAGCTGAAGAAGAAGCCCGTAAGGCTGAAGAGGCTCGTCTGGCAGAGGAAGCTCGCTTAGCTGAGCAAGCTAAAAAGGCGGAGGAAGAACGACTCGCTGAAGAAGCGAGACTTGCAGAGGAAGCACGTAAGGCCGAAGAAGCAAGATTAGCTGAGGAAGCGAAATTAGCAGAAGAAGCGAGATTAGCTGAAGAAGCGAGATTGGCAGAAGAAGCGAGATTAGCAGAAGAAGCGAAATTAGCAGAAGAAGCGAAATTAGCAGAAGAAGCCAGATTAGCAGAAGAAGCCAGGTTGGAAGAAGAAAGGCAAGCAGAACAAAGGAGACAAGAAGAACTTGCCAGATTAGAAGAATTAGAGAAGCAAGCACAGGAAGAGCGAGAAGATGAACTAGCTCGACAGGTAAATACTAATATATATAAAAATAAATTATTGCTGGGCTCGCTATAACTCGAAAACAGCTTGACCGATTTGATTTTTTTTTTTATCATTATTATACAAAGGTGGTTTAAAAAGAGTTCGAAAACCGTGAAGTAAAATAGAAAAGTCGAAAATTAAAAATAGATAATTTTATATGCTTATATTATCTTTATTATAATTTACTTGTATCAATAGGAATAATTCCTTAAAATTAATTTTGATCTACAGGCTGCGGAATTAGCAGAAATTGCAAGACAAGAATCTGAACTGGCGGCTGCACGTCTCGAGGAGCTTTCAAAAACCGATGCCACGGGAGATGAATTTGTGGATGCAGAATCCAGGTAATATAAATTATTATATCATTATAAAAGTGAACAGAAAAACAACACAAATGATGTCTAGAATTGCGTGTGCAATTCTAAAACATATTTTAGAATATGTATGGGGACTCAAATAAGAAGTCTAATCTGCAAGAGCTACAATTATAATTATTTATGTCGACTTCAAATGAAATCAAGAGGAGCCCTTACTTATGAATGCAAATCACGACTGTGTCGCGAGCTCTCACTGGGTGATCAGCGGGCTGTTTGTCGCTGTACGCGTGCAGTAGGCGGCGATGGTAGTAATAGTTATTATTTAGCTAGAATGAAAGTATTTTAGGACTTTTGCGACTTCCAATTCCGACAAAAAAAACTTATTAACAATCCAAGTTTCCCATCAACTGGTAATGGCTGCTAACAAATAATAATAGGTTTACCATTTTGTTAAAATGTAACCAAATCTCTGTACCTTAGGGGGTAGACAGAGATAACCGAGTGCTACAAGCATCCTCCCTTACGTACATCCTATACTTCATGTACACTCATAATATAATTCAGATATACTAACCAGTTTTTAAAATCAGAGGCCAATACGAGTATTAATTAGAAGGGCAACAGTTAACAATATTCTCATTTACAAATATAATCGCAAGCATAAATGTTTATTACATTTTAGTGAAACCCCTGCGGAGGAAGCTCAGCCTATCGTAGAGGAACCCGAGACTCCTGAGGCAGCTCCAACAGAGACAGCAGAAACAGAAGCGCCCGCAGCAGCGCCCGCAACGGAAGTAAGCGAAGATGAACAAGCGGAGCCAGACGTTACTGATGAAGAATAAACTCGAGACAGTGATACTCTAGTTCTATGCATTTCTAATATTTATCGGGTACTTACAAGCTAGGCATCGTTCATGTAAATTAGTATAGTTCATAAATGATGCAGTAGCTTTTATATTTGTCTTCTATTTCGTACGATCGCTTTCTTTTGCGTAATAAAATTACGCGACAACGAAAGATACATATTCCTATCCTACTGAGACGAAATGTACTACCACCACCGTTAACAAATAAATTATAATGTAAACTAAAAATCTAAATATGTTAGTCTAAGTGTTTAATAATGTTATATTTTGTTAAAGTTTAACAATAAAAGACATAATTAACATTTTTTTTATTTCAATGCTCTTCCCCTCCTAATTTAGTTCTTCAAAAAAGGAGTAAAGGGGTTTCTTCAGTGTTAGTATCACGAGCCCCTGATATTGCAGGCGTTTACAGGCTATGGTAACCACTTACCATCAGATGGACCATATCTGGCAAACAAGGCCACCTCAGTAGTATAAAAGGAAAAAGGCAGCCAACATGAAGTTCTTATATTAATTCACTCTATTTAATTTTTTTTAATGTGGATTTTATTTCCCATTGGCCCTCTGTTGCACTATAAAATTGCCTTTTATATAAAAAGAGTGGTGGTTAGGTCTTTACATATATCTATTCATTAAATTGTTGTTTATAGTGTATTTAATATTAGGCAACTAGTTGATACAGAAGCAGTAGTACAATAGGAAATGCCTTACCATTTCAATGGCCGCCAACCACGTAAATAAAATTATAAACTCAAGATTGACACTTTGGTATAGACAATTTGATATAGTGCTAAAGTCATAGATGTTACCATACCATACCTACCTACTACCATAAAAATCAATCCAATTACCACTTGAGGAATAACCAGCTGTATATTATCTAGATTAGTGAAATTTCTAGATCTAGGCCCACTTTAGTAAAGTCAATACAACCTGGCAACGCAGTAGCCAGGTTATAATGTATTTTATATATATACGAGGTTTGTCCGGAAAGTACGTATAAAAGTTTTTTAAAAATTTTATTTTACAATTATTCAGGTAAATCAATTTTATCCCCTTCAAAGTACTCCCCCTGTGACATAATGCACTTGTGCCAACGCCGTTTCCACTGTGAGAAGGCTCCTTGAAAGTCCTCTGGTTGTAGGTTTCTCAGCTGCCCCGTCGTAGCTTTTTTTATCTCATTTATGTCCCCCAAATGCCGCCCCCGAAGTACCAATTTGGTTTTTGGGAACAAGAAGAAGTCACACGGGGCCAAATCCGGCGAATAGGGGGGTGTTCGGTCACCGTAATGGAATTTTTACTCAAAAACTCACGGACAACAAGAGAGGTGTGGGCAGGGGCATTGTCGTGGTGAAGAATCCAACGCCCCTCTCGCGCCAATTCTGGACGAACTCGTGCCACACGGGCTTTGAGGCGTCTGAGCACATCGACGTAGAATTTTCCATCAACTGTCTGGCCTGGAGGGACGAATTCTTGATGGACAATCCCCCGAACATCGAACTCTTTCTCGGCCCTCTCTGAATCTTTTTAGCCACTTGTGGACGGTTGGTTCCTTCACAGCATCATCCCCATAAACTGTTCTGAGATCGGCAAAAATTTCACGGCCATTCTTGCCGAGTTTCGAGAGAAACTTGATTACGACGCGCTGCTCTTCAACGGAAGCGGGCTCCATGCCGACGGGGTTTCGTTAAGAGGTAACTTCACAGATGGCGTGACAAGCCAGTTCGCACCGCACGGCGGTCAGACCAGAACTGAAGCATTGTTAGGGACATAAGGAAGGGGTCCTGCGCTTACCTGGCCTCCCCACTCCTCTTTCTCGCATTCCAGAACACTTTTATACGAACTTTCCGGACAGACCTCGTATATTGACAACTAATTCATGCATTCTTTTCCAGCCAGCTCTATTCCAGGCCATACCTTGACTTTCCTATCAGACATGACACCTAGTTTCTCCTCTATCTGTCCCATGTGTGACATACAAAATAATTATAATTTATGAAACAAGTAAATAAATAAATTGTAGTTAAATAAAAAGACAGTTTTAACTTACAATAAATATATTACAGAGTAAATATAACAATATCTCATAAATCCATTTTCACTATTTGTTCAGCAGTATTTGCTACCTCTTCTTTTGTTATATTTTTTTCAGGCTTTTTCTGCACTGGCTTTACTTCGGGCTTAGCTTTTTCTTTCGATTTGGGATTCTTGTTTATTTCTAAGAATTGTTTATCAATATCCAAAATCTTCTGTTTGATCTGAAAAAAAAAATTAACATATTTCAGTTTACTAACTGGCCTGTAGTCAGTGAATCCAGCTTTGCTGAGCTGATAATTTTATTTCAGAATACCATACAAGTCCTTACTAGTGTGTGATGTTAGCGAAGATCTATGGAATTGAAACATGATCTAACACTGATAACCATATGAGAATGCCACAAAATTGCTCAACAAGTTATAAAAATGCTTGGAAATTATACTGTATGATAGAATTTGAAATTATTCAAAATTCTATATTTGATAATAAGCTATTTGTGGAACAAATTACACTTACATCATTTCAACTGTTTGACAAAATAATAAATTTTAATATAATAAAATTAAAGATTTTTCATATCCTAAGAATTTAGAACTGCAAACTTAGCTGTGTCTAAACAGTTAACTGTGTCTGGTTATTAAAGGATATACAAACGGATGGCAATTACATACCATTCTTTATAAATAATTTTTTCCCCCTGCAAACCAACATATTGAATTCCAAGTGTATTCATCATGATGGGCTAACTCTCACCTATCATCCCCTACTAGTGACTTGCCAGCATATACCATTCCATTATTATCTATTAAAAAAGAAGACTATTTTGAGGTTAGTTTAAACAAACTACATACTAGGCAAAGGAATTTAAGGTAGACTTTTTAAAACTTCTTTCATAAGTCTGAGGAACCCTCAATGGAATATTGTGAATAGACAATGCATCGTCTATATATTTAAAATAATAAAGTTCTTGGAAATAGTACAAACACTTTTATTAAATACACATATAGCTATCTGCAGTAATTTTATTTGACATCGTATTTAATCACATACATCCCTATGTACAATACATATGAAATAGAAACGTATGTTACGAAAAAAAATAAAGAAAAACAAACTTACATTTTTTAATCCCAAATTAACTGCTTTGGCCTTTGTTTTTTTCAAACTTTTAGCTCCTGCTACTTTAAATACATTGGCTTTTGAACCAGACTTATTCTTCTTACCCATTATTGAAGCAAAAACAAATAATTGTCCATGTATCAATAACTATAATAATTTTTTAAACAATTTCATTTGTAACATGCCATGCATGAAGAAGAAGCAAAATTAAGTGACAGTAGTGATGTAGTGACACTTACTCTGGCTAGATTGAGTACTAACTTGAATACTTAATAGATATTAAGGCACTGAAGTACTCAATACATAGAACTTGATTACAACGCATTCATACATAGGTTTCGAATACTTGTCATACTTAAATACTAACCATACTATTTGAATATTTTCTATTACTTTTAAATGTTTATGATAAGTTTTTCTGTTTCAAGATTGTAGTGATCTTTTTCTTAGTTATCAAACTAATAAATTATTCACGAAATTTTATGAGTTCCTGGCTATGCATAGATTAAGAGCAATTAGACAGTCCGAAATCCGAATACGTACATTAGCCAAATAATAATATGTGCGTTTGAATTGATTAGACTTAAAAATAGCAAAACTCTACGTTTGTGTAAATTGATTTATTCGGTTAATTATCGATTTTTAAAACACCTACCGACCGAGACTGACTAAATTTTGTTCTCTTTGATCTCTAATAATTGTTCATTTACTTGTGCAATTAAATTTTTTTAGTCATTAGGCACTTGAAAAAGTCGAGATTGTTTTTCTTGGTATTGTATTTGATTTTGTAAGTTGATTTTTGTCTCGATCGGAAACTATAAACAAAATTCGAAGAAATTTAAGTTTCCAATACTGTTAATATTTCCCAGTGTCAATTAATAATCATTAGTGAGAATCAATTAGTAAATACTAGTTGTTTCTCGTCGCTTCTTGCCTTTCTTCCTTACGAACCTTTGTTAAGAAATAGTCCACCAAATGTATAAAGAATTTTCAAATCGCAGTATTAATCACAGAGAATTGCGTGTTCTAATAAACAAATTCGTCCGATTTACAATACACATATATAGATAAAAATAAACAATTCAAACAGGACATTAATCAAATGAAGTGATTTTGAGATATATAATCGATTCTCAATGATTATCTATTACACCACTACAGTTGTCGCAGCCTGCATCAGTGTTATCAACTTAGTTATTTGGTGCTTAGTTGGTAATATAAACAACATTACTATAACTGATAGGGAAAAGTTTCTTGAGTGGCGATCCTGTACGGGTAAATGTAGTATAGGACGACCTCCTACTAAAATTAATCTAAAATGTGGTCTAGAATATGTCTAGTTACAAGATGTGGAAGATATTTGAGAAAATGGATTTCATATCCTTAGCAGCAATGAAACAATTTTTATTCAAAAAAACTTCACATAAATCAGTCAATGTTAAACTTTTACCTTTTTGTTTAAAGAAGACACCCCTTACTTCAATATCCTCATGACTAAGCGAAATGTTATTATCGACATTATAACTTGACTACCCTTTGTCTTTTTCTCAATATCCTATACCCAAAGGTTGTCTGGAAGAGATTGGTTAGCGATAAGGCCGCCTTTTGAATCACTTCTCATTAATATTTACTGTATTTGTTATTTATCTTTTTACTTGGTGCAATAAAGTGTAAATAAATAAAATAAATAAATAATATTCAATAATCTTGCATGAATTTGATCGGCCGACTTTATTAATATTTATTACCTCATAATTTCATTATTTATAAATTGATTTGAAAATTTTTTTTGTCTCAAAAGATATTGATTTTGCTACAAATGCAGTCAGTTTTTTTTTATGGAAAACAATCTTAAATTAGTCATTGTGTTATATGTACATATGTACTAAATGGTAGGATAATATACACACACATAAGTGGTAAAAAAATGTTCTAGAAGATTTTGTTTTCTTGAAAAACATATCCAGAAATTGCTAAATTATTGTATATTATTTTGATATTGGTCGATATTATTTTGGACTAATCTAATTGAGCTCTTTTCTTTTCTATTCTGTCAAGTCTGAAATTTAACCTCGAGTTGGCAACATTGGAATCAAATCAATCAAAACCCAAAAACACCCATTCTATCAGTTTAAAAAGATATAATTTAGTATTTTGCTTCGATTTTCGATTACGGGATATTTCGAAATTTTTACGTTTTCATAACAATTAATTGCTTTTTATATTTTATAAAAAAGTACTATAAACGCCGCCAAAATTAGTTACTACTCTAAATATAACGGAAATATTTCCAGCATGGCTAAGGTAATTAAATAGTTCCAGTTTATTGAGATTTGTAGTATATTTACATACTGGTTTTATTATATTTAACATAACTGAGCTAAAGAATATTCTAGTTCCGTTTAATACGTCTGAAGAGACGAGGTCTTTTAATTTTTGTATACTCTTTTAAAAAGAATGAGTGCTATAGAACATAAGGTAATTAATATTTGTGATAAATTAATATTTAATGTTTAGAGTGACTACAGTTTATTGATATTGTATAGTTGTTATAGATATAACATAATTTTAGTTGTGTATTTATGTGTGTGTATACATATTAATTATTAAAGTTAAGATAATTTTTTTTTCCAGCCAGTATTATATTCATACTGGCGAAGCTCATGTGCTTGGCGCGTTAGGATCGCGCTGAATCTGAAAGAAATACCATATGATATAAAGGCAGTGAGCCTTATAAAAGGCGGAGGGGAGCAACACTGCAATGAGTACCGGGAAGTCAACCCTATGGAGCAAGTGCCATCTCTCTGTATAGGTATTAAATTATTATATTATATTCAAAAGCATATTGACTATTAATCTAGGATGTCATTTAATATCAAATGTTTTCCAAATTGTTTAAACCATTAAATATATGATTTAGTAATAAACATCTAAACAATGCTTCTAAAAATCCATTCTTTCTTTCTTTGAGTGTCATAAAAGTTGACTAAAAGAACTTAATGGTTAAGGGATAGACAGCAGCATGCCTTGTAAAAAATCACTAAAAACCTAACTGAGTTGCTAATTTATTTGCCAAGAGTGGCAGCTACTGGCACTAACAGCATTTACAATATCTTTATTAATCTTATCTGTTAATCTTTGCTAAGACTAGAATTCATTAAATAATTAATTGGAATCTGAGAACTTGATGTTCCATTATTTTTGCATACTGGAGACAGGTATGATGGATTATGTATATATGCTAAAATTAGAAATCACAGGTTGACTTTCTTCTATACTATTTTAAATATTAAAATATTTTCCATATTGCTGTTTTCAGATGGGCACACCTTTGTGGAATCTCTGAGTATCATGCATTATTTGGAGGAGACTAGACCTCAGAGGCCTCTGATGCCTCAAGACTGTTTTAAAAGGGCAAAAGTTAGGGAAATATGTGAGGTGAGTAATGTAGAGTTAAATTATACATGTATACTGAAAAGACTATGGCAATAGTGAAAATATAACAAAATTAACTGAAATTTTGGAATTCTATTTTACTGAAACATATTTTCACTCTTTCATGCATTTTTTCAGATGCTGGCTGTCCATTTGCACTCTTTTGATTATTTTTTTAAGTCAAATTCATAAAGAAATTCACTAATAATATATTAAATAAATTTTTAAAAACAGTACAATCCACCCTATAACATGGCAGATTCGTTTCGCATTGTAGGAAAAGTGTTGTAGGAATATTTTCGTATAATGTGCTTGTACGAGCCGGTATAACGCATTATGTACAAATAATTCATGTTTAACTCTTCTCATTAAAATAGGGTTTATATCGAATATTAAGAAAAGAACTGTAATGAATTAATTATGTGTCTTATTAAAATCAAACTAAGCACATTTTAAATAAAAAATATTTTATGCATATGTAACTAAAAAACAGTTGAATACAAATAAATTAACAGTTTTATTACATATTTATTCCCTGTGGGAGCTATCTGTTATAACATTCCAAAGACATCTTTTTTTTAATAGATGTTCTATCCCCACGTTGTATGGTGGAATACCCGTGTTATATGAGGGATTGTAATCACGTAATATGAAAATGCATTATAAGAGTATCGTGTTATAGGGGGAACTACTGTATTTTATAAAAAAAGTAGTAATAATAATTAGTATTTAATTTTTAAGCAAATAAAATGTTACCTCAGATGTAGAGAGTTACTTTTGTTAATTATAATATTCTAGAAGTTGTCACTGGGGCATTCTAGACTCTAGACAAATGGCAAAAAATCTATCTTTCTTCGTATGACAACTTTTTTCAAAAATTTAAATAAAAAAAATAATATTTTCTAAATTGTTCCTAATATTTTTTTTTTGTTTTTAAATAATTTAAAAAAAATACAGATTCTTAATTGCATGTGTTTTGTATATGTGAAATATTTGCTAATTTAGAACTGCTTTTGATTATCCCTTTTATAGTTACCATATACATTAATGGGTGTTGTTGTTATTTTTTTTTTCTAATGCAAAATTGTTTTTCTACTATTTTCAGGTGATAGCCTCAGGTATTCAACCCCTTCAGAATCTCGTGGTCCTGATCCACGTTGGGGAAGAAAAGAAAAAAGAATGGGCACAGAAATGGATCACACGGGGATTCCGTGCAGTTGAAAAACTATTGTCGGCCTCCGCTGGGAAGTATTGTGTGGGAGATGAAATTACACTGGCCGATTGTTGCCTGGTACCTCAAGTGTTTAATGCAAGAAGGTTTGTCGAGTTCTTACTTAAATTACGCACATATTTTATTTAGTGAAGTCATGTGATGCAATTACAGGTAAATAGAATACCTTTTACCAGAGGGAGACTTTGTACAAAAGTCGATTGCTTGGCTACCTCTGTCCCATTCTTGTTTCAACCGTAAAGCAGCTGTTTGCATGGCTGTGTTTCGGTTTAAAAGGCAAGATATGGAGTTAATTTACTGGGTATGGAGGAATAACACCTGAGTCCTCAGGAATGGCAATGCATGGGGGTATCATGGGCAAAACAGTATACACAGAGTATGTGCATACTGTTTATGTGGATACCAGTAAAGGATGATAGGCATGGATGAAAAGGCAGGTCAGTAAGCCCATCGTGACTAATACCCTAAGAATTAATCATGATGGTCTCCAGGGGGAACCGCATGGAGGTCGACCGTATAGGGTATATTGCTAGTAAAGAGGTTGCTAGTCCCCATTATTAACAATCGCTTCTCTCCTTAATTTTATGATATTATTAAGAATGCTCTTTCATCCCTTTTAAATTATTGGACTATATGGTGAAATTTCTGTGTTGCCAATATACTTGATACATTTTTTAAACCTGTTTTTTGATCCTATTTAAAAAAAAAAATATTAATAATAAAATATTTTCAGATTCCACGTAGATCTTCGTCCGTTCCCTATAATTCTGCGCATCGACCGCGAGCTAGAGAACCACCCGGCGTTCCGAGCGGCCCACCCGTCCGCGCAACCCGACTGTCCACCAGAGGTCGCTAAATGAACCCACCTCCCAGCTTGCTCCACATATTTACCATATGAAACTGTCAGTTTTTTATAACAATAATTTACATAATTCTTTTTTTACTTGCAAAATAAGGATCACATTTGCCATTTGTTGTAAGACAGTGTGGTGATGATTCTAATATTGCAAAAGATATTAATGAAATTGCTGCATAGGATACTGTGAATATAGTACTGTGCTAGTTGCGCCAACCCACAAATGTTAAGTTCATTTTGTATCTAAATTTATTTGAACAAATGTTATACTCATTTTGTAAAATTGTCGAAAAATATATTTTTCTTTTTTTTTTTAATAAAATTAGAATATTAAATATAATATTAATTTGTTCTTAAAAATATTTGAAACATTTTAGTTAATGAGAAAATATCTTTTTTTAAAAGAATTTTCAAATATTTTTAAAGTATTCTCATGATGACAACTGCTACATGTGTGTATGAGGATTTTTTGTAAGAAAATGTAGTATTAAAAAAAAAATTTAATAATTATAAAAACACTCAAACCGACTAATAATACTTTCGAGTGTTAAAATCTAAGAACAAAAGATTGTTCTTAATTCAAATTAACATTTGTTTCACTATGGTATAAATGTGGACAATGTTTTTGATTTTGCCCTTTTTACATTTTTATACAAATATTTTCCATTAGGTTTTGGGTTCAAATATTTAAATAACTTCTAAATAAGTAATTATAAGCTTTTATCACGAGTAATATTAAATCTAGTCCTTTATGTACCTTTGTTTTATAACAGTTTCTTTTTTATTATATAAGTTCAAATATATGTAAGTATAAGAAATTGTGCCATTGTGTTCTTTTACATTCCAAATAGATTTGTTATATTTGTTTATTATTGTTTTTAATGTACGTACTTAATTATCGTATGTATTTTTGTGATATTGTTAATTCATACATATATACCTACTTAAGTATATTTTTTCATTATTTGCATTTTTTAAAATAAAAGCTCTCTGTTTCAAAAAGTTTTTTAATTAACCATGAGTTTTACCTGCCGTTCCTTCCACGTGGTAGTCCTAATTCATACAAATGAATTATCAAAAACGTTTCAGAATTAACCACGAAACAATGCAGACAAATTGAGAACACCCTTTTTTGAAATTATTTCAATAGTTTTATATAAAATGATGCATACTATTTGGAAATTTACCTACTATGATTTAAATTTAGTATGGGATCAATGTAGTTACCAATTTCTTAAATATATACTGATTTTTCGTGATGACTGGTAACATACACAAAACATGCAGCTGAATTTGAGACCTGAAATAAGTCTAGTAATTAGAACTAGAATGTCTATGGTCAAATTTAACGGATACAAATTCTCACGCATATTTTTGCAAACAGGATTTTTTGTGAACGTTGAACGTATCTTTTATTTCCGTTTTGTTTAAACGCATCGTAGTCACTGTACGACATCTAGTGATGACATAAGAAAATAATTGTATTACCAGCTAAATATTACTTGCTAATAATAATGGAATGTGATCTTTTAAGGGATAAAAACGAATGTAATATTATTACGTAGATAAATGACGAAATTTTTATTTAATCGTTTTAAATTCTTATAACCATAATTTATTAATAACAACACTACTATTCTTATTGATAGATGGCAGAATATAATAAGTACTATGTTTACTACAAATTTAGACGTGCAAATTTTTTATTTATATTCTTACAATATTGATATTTAATAATTACCCAATTAAAAAACGGAGACAACGTTATAATTCATTTAAATATAAGATAAAAAATATTATACTCTTTGGTGAAAACCGGCCATAATTTATTAGTCATTGGGTATTTCCAAAGACTATAAAATTTGCTTATGTAATTAGAATATAATTCTTATTCATTTATTCGAAAAATAGAATTTGGACGAAATACTTATTATTGTTTAATATGAAAAGAAGGAATAGGATAATTTCAACTTATAATATGGTAACATTGTGCAGGCAATTGTCAAATGTATCGAACGCTTTCCTTCGGTCCGGTCGTTCGCAATCCGATTCCTCTCTAATCACTAGTATAAAGTACAATAAAATTTATTTTGTGTTATTGTGTTTGCTTCGGCGTCGTCTCCGTGTTCGTCTATGCACAATAAAAATGAATTCAGTGTTGTGTTTAGTGATCAAATAATAATGCGAGTCGCTGCCGACATTGGTTCTGTGCTGTGAATACTTGTGCCCGGTGCTGATCTAAAATGACCGAGAAAAATAAATCGGAGAAGATGACTAATGCATCGAAACCTGTTCCCATGAAACTTTTTGCCGCCTGGGAAGTGGACAGGACGCCCTCGAACTGTATACCCAGGTGGGTTTATGAAATAAACCGTATGTTTATATTACAATTATTGTTATACGATATGCCATTGTTTTATGAGTTATTACCTACTGTTTGTTTAACTTAAAGATATTTAATTGAGTTACCTATCATGCTGCCAGTGAAGATATATTAGTATATTATATACCTACATGGCACAGCGCACCCGGCGTGTTATCATGCTTTTAATGGGTCAATTATCGTATCGGTATTGTTGCTAATTTAATTATGACCCATTTGTATTAAGTGGTTTATCAATATTCCTGCAATATCCCTTTTAAAATATATCTCTGATGTGTTGTATTTATATACATTTTTTATGTAGTAAAATATAATAATAATAGTATATAAATAGGAACCAAAAATACATGTAACATAACATTGTATTATTCCCAACACTTTACATTAGGATTCTCTGTGTTGTAAAGTCATAGGCTTTCTTTTGCTTGCAAATATATATGTATTATTATATTTATGAATGACAGTGTAGATAAATTATTTGAACTCTGTAGTATCATAAGATTATATTTTTGTCAGTTCAGGATGTAATTTTCATAGAATTGAACTGACAAAAATTTAGTTTACTCCTTTTTAATAATTGTTTTCTATCTTTTATTGTTTCTCATTATTTATTTATTATTTATACATTTAAAAAGTAATTTACTGTAATGTATAAAGGATCAATTTAAATATTTATATTTGAGGAAACATTGTTATCAAAAAAAAAAAAAAAACAAATTAATTGGATGTGAGCATGTGTGTTGATTTCATATCTTTCTAATACACATAGTGATTTACAGATACTAATGTTATTACTTTGTATGAGATAGTAATTTAAATAAATAAAAAATTGGCAGTACATAAGAATCACATCATATATATAAACTATTGAATGGACTTATTAATGCCAGGAATGACACGCATCTTGTCTTAATAGTAACAATATATATGTGCCAGTACTAAACAATTTGACCATCAATAGCCCCCTTAAGGAATGCCACCATGTGTATTGGATTCTAAAATAATCAGTAATATGAGAAGGTAAAATTTTATGGTCATTTCAATAATAACATTTAAAGAACAGAAAAGTTTAAACAAAAATGTGTAAAAATATTTAATGTATCTCATTTTTATTTATTGTATTCACAATAAAAGGTATCTTCTGTTTAATCATTATTAGAGTTACTTAAAGTAACCTTAGGACAATGTAGAATTCCTTTTTTAATTTCAATGTTAAATTTTTTTACAAGCATTACAGGTGTTTACACCTATTTATATTGTAAAAATAACTAGACTGACTTTCATATTTTTATTAACAATGCTGGACTATTGTTAGGACCGTGTTAAACTGTTATTCATAGTGATCAGTGCAGTTTAAGTTTATGAAATTTGTCAACAAAAAAAAAATATATAAATTAAAAAATTTTCAATCAACTTCAAAAAAGGGAGCTACTCAATTTAATTTTTTTTTTTTATGTTTGTTACCTCTATAACTTATCAGTTAAAAACCAATTTGGAATATTCTTTTTTTACCTTAAAAGATATACATACAGATTGGATCCATAGGAATTTTATGAAAATCAGTCCATAGTTCAATTTTTAAATCAATATGACTGATTTTGCTGCAATTGAGGTCAGTTTTTGTGTTACAGTTATTTATTATTAAAGTTAAAATATATTAACAATGTTTTATACAATGGAAAACACATTGAGTCATACAGTTTCTCAAATGTTCTCCTTATATTTTAGATTGTTTCCTTTATAGTCTCTATAATGGCTTATTGTTTGAATAAGAAGTAGGAAACATAGTTAACAGCATTGACACGGCATGTTTGTATTAGATAACAAGAGCTATTATGAATGCACTGACATTGTTAAGATGAACATCAATAATGTCTTTATTAGTGGTTTGTGACAAACAGCTCTTTAAGTAGGCACATAATTATAATTAACTAACTTTTGTATAATCACACTTTTTCTCCTTGGTATTTGTCAAGACTACACATGCATAGTATATATTTTGTAGGAGCTGTAACCCACTGTTTTGCATGTGTAAATTGATACAAAATGTATCCTATATGCTAAGTTACGATATAACCTATCCATGTTATAAAATTTTATTCAAATCTAATTTGTAGTTTTTACATGAAAAAGTTATAAACAGGGTTTCGTGTACTTACTCATCATAAGAACATTGTAACAACTCTATATTATGTACATGAATGCATTATAATAATAAATAAATAAATAATAAACATCCATCCATCCTTACAAATTTTCACATTTGTTATATTAATAGGATTTTATATTTGGTATGAAAAGGCATAGTTTGTAAATAATTTTAGGTAATTTTAACTTATTTATAGTTATTGTTAAAAATTTCTTAAGTTTATTTTTATTTGTTCATATTAAAAGTAGTTATTGAGATTTCGTTATAAAAATTTGCCATAATTTTAAATATACAGTGGATATGGGATCAGTGTTTACCAGGTTGTCTGTAAGAGAGTGCTTTTAGCGATAAGGCTGCCTTTTGTATATGCACATTCTGTATAAATACTCCTTGTATACATCTCTACTGTGCGCAATAAAGAGTTTATTATTATTATACCGATAGTGTAGGCGGGGTCTAAATTTCTTTTTCACCCACTAAAATAATCTCACAGGGTATATTGCTAACGGCGGGGCTGCTAGTCCCCACACAGATACAGATAGAAATTACTCAAACGATTGCATCGAAAATCACCCACATGTGGGTGTCGAGTCAGGACTCAGGACAGGAGTCAGGATGTGCCTGATTCACAATAAATTGTGACCGTTTGATTACGTTTTTAACGCAAGGTCGCAGGAATTATTCAATTGAAAATAAATTCCGTGTGTTTCTGTGCGGTGCCGATCGCACGTTTCATTTTAGGTTCTAAACAAAATAGTGTCTCTAAGTTCTTTTTTTTTATACAACTTAGAATGGCAAACAAGCTGACGGCCCACCTGATGGAAAGTGGTAACCGTCGCCTATAGACATGAGCAGTACCATGGATATAACAGAGTATACTGTTTCGCCCATGATACCCCCATGCGTTGCCATTCCTGAGGACTCAGGTTTCTTATTATACCCTGTATCCATTATTCCTCTGTACCCAGTAAAGTCTATGTTTAATCCGCATTATTATTTTATTTATGCGTCTCATCATCATCATCATTCACTATTAACATAGGCCTCCCCTATAAGGGGTGTTTTGTTAGTATTTGCCGCGCTTGGCATGTGGGTTGGCAACCATAATTAGGCTTTAAGTCACCTTAGTCGCCTCTTACAACACCTACGGGAAAGGGGATTTTATGTGTCTATTAACCACTAACTACTGAACTCTAATACATTATGATTGGAGGGGAAAAGGATTGTTAGCAATGGAGTTCGACAGCCCCATTGCTAGCAATATGCCTTATTAGGTCGACCTCCACGTGGTTCCCCCTGGAAACCATCGTGAACAATTCTTATTGAATTCGTCACGATGGGCTAACTGACCTACTTCATCCTCACCTGTCATCCTTCACTGGTGCCCCACCGGTGTATACCGAAAGCGCGGGTGGGGTTACCATTCCATTATCATCCATTAACAAAAAATACATTATGATTATTACGTCATAGAAAAGGTCATCTCACAATCACAATAAGCCTACCGCAGTCCACTGTTGGACATAGGCCTATCCCAAGGCACGCTATTGAGCACGATATTTGGCTCTTCGCTTCCAGTAATTACCACCTCATTACCAGCAAGCTTACATATGTCGTCAATCCCTCTGGCTGCAGGTCGCTCCACACTGTACTTGCCGATTCACGGCTCCAGTTCAAAACACATCTACTTAAACAATTATCGGCCAGTAAAGTTATATGTTATTACATATAAGATATAGATTTTTTTAGCCGTGTGGTCCCGGCATAGAATGAGCCACCCCTTCCTTTTCCGTTAGAGTTGTAAGAGGCGATTAAGGGAACGTATGGTCGAGGGATGGGCAGCAGCGTCCCTCTTAATACATCTCTAAAAATTTTACTGCGATTGCTAACCCGCTTGCCAGGCGTGGCAACTAATGGCAAATCTCCCCGTATGGGGAAGGCTTATGTTCAGCAGTGGACAGTTAATGACTGAAATAATATTTGTTTATTTATTTATTCAACTCTTTATTGCACCATAAATAAAAATATACAATGACAAGTGAATAATTCAAGTGAAATACAGTAACATAAATACAGATTGAAATATACACATAAAGGTACAAAAGGCGGTCTTATCGCTAGGGCAATTTCTTACAGACAACCTTTGGTTAAAGGAGAACAGATAGTTATAATTTACAATAGTAAGTTACATTAAGTTTTTCGCACAAGAAAATTGAGATTACGGTCAAGAGTGTCGCGACACAGTGTATACGGAAACGTTACCATACGGAACGGGAGTGAACTTTATTTTAATACATTTACCACGTCTTTATTTAGTACTAGCGGTCCGTCCCGGCTTCACACGGGTGGACATGTTAACATTTTAAAAAGTGGTCATTAAGGCTGCACACGCGGCGGAAGCTTAAAAATGGAGTAACTTCTCCCGTTTTCCCAACATTTCCCTTCACTGCTCTGCTCCTATTGATCGTAGCGTGATGAACTGTATACTATAACCTGCCCAGGAGTATGAAGAATAATTGTACCAAGTTTCGTTAAAATCCGTCGAGTAGTTTTTGTTTCTATAACGAACATATAGACAGATAGACAAAAATTTTACTGATTGCATTTTTGGCATCAGTATCGATTACTAATCACCCGCTGATAGTTATTTTGGAAATATATTTCATGTACAGAATTGACCTCTCTACAGATTTATTATAAGTATAGATATTTTGTCCATATGTATGTTATGGTTTTATTATTCTTTTTTTTTCTAATTATTGCAAAAACTTTAATAGTGAACACAGGAGTCACAAAATTGTTTCTTTTATACAATTACATT